CACCTATAGAATACTCACACCAAGTGTTTACTTATGTAGGTAAAAGTATGTTTAACAACCTGTTAAAATACAGCAGAATGCAGGAAATGGCGTCTACTTTATTCAAAATGTTCTGGGGGACCCCTAGACCCCCCACCAGACTGATTTTACACACTGTTTTCTCCTTCATTAAATACCATACAGCCCTGATCACAACTGTTGGCAAAAGTCCAAATAAGCAGGTTGTACAAAGACGTTATTTAGTACGACAGAATATTACTGCCACACAAGATTTTTTTATTTTAATTACGAGATTAAAGTCGTAATTATACGAGAATAAATTCATAACATTACGAGATTAAAGTTGTAATTTTATGAGAATAAAGTCATAATATTACGAGATTAAAGTCGTAATTTTACGAGAATAATTCATAATATTACGAGATTAAAGTTGTAATTTTACGAGAATAAATTCATAATATTACGAGATTAAAGTTGTAATTTTATGAGAATAAAGTCATAATATTACGAGATTAAAGTCGTAATTTTACGAGAATAAATTCATAATATTACAAGATTAAAGTCGTAATTATATGAGAATAAAGTCATAATATTACGAGATTAAAGTTGTAATTTTATGAGAATAAAGTCATAATATTACGAGATTAAAGTTGTAATTTTATGAGAATAAAGTCATAATATTACGAGATTAAAGTTGTAATATTACAAGATTAAAGTCGTAATTTTAGGAGAATAAAGTCAATATTACGAGGCTGAAGTCACTATATTATGAGAAGAAAATCATAATATTACAAGAATAAAGTCATAATATTACGAGAATAAAGTCATAATATTACGAGAATAAAGTCATAATTTTACGAGAATAGTCATAATATTACGAGATTAAAGTCATAATTTTACGAGATTAAAGTCGTAATATTACAAGAAAAAAAGTCATAATCACGACGTGTCTTGTTTCCTGTTCCTCATTTCCTCCTTTTTTCCCTCACACCTGTGTACATCCATGTCGCTGTGTTTATAAAGTAGTGAATGATGACTTGGGTCACTGTTAGATTAATATGCTGTCATCCAAATTAGCTACGACTAACTCCGTCAACCTATCCATTAATTACAACACGGCTTCAGTTTATAGTCGTTTGCACAATTTCCTAGTCCTGCTACTGATAATTTGATGCTAATGTGCAAAAAGATTAACTATTCATTTATAGCAATACTAAAAAACAACTTGACAAGTTGCTCAACATTCCTCATTTTAATGCAGTGGTAACTGCATGCTTTTTTCCTGTAAAGGCTACAATATTATGACATTTTTCTCATAATATTATGAATTTAAACTCCTAATATGACTTTAAACTCGTAATATTACGACTTTATTTTCATGCGACTTTAATGTCGTAAAATTGTGACTTTATTCTCGTAATTTAAAAAAAAATCTCGTTGTGTGGCCCTAATACTCCGTCGTATACTTCTTGGTCATACTTCAAGATCATGAAACCTGACCGACATCAGAAGCATAATATTGTGTACTTTTGAATACAGCAGTTTTAAAAAGAAAACCTTCTTCATTACTCCATTGCATTGACTGTTTTATTTATTTATTTAGTACTAACTTTATATTTTAAAAAATCACAGCACAGATAGTCCTTTGCACAGAAAAAAAGAATTTAAAATCACCTTTTTTATTAAAATGAGATGACTTTAACAAGACCACAACAAAATCCAACACTAGTTTTATATACAGATGACAGAATTTTAATCCATGTAGTGAAAACAGGAAGGATTTTTACATTTGCATATATTTACACATCAATTTATCATCAATTTAAACTCTATGCAGTTTTAAAAATTGGACTTGCTTTGGTCTTTGCCCTGTTTAGACTAGCTCAGCAATCCTAATTTAAACTCCAAACTTTGGTTGTTCAAAGAGAAACAGGTAAATTATGAATTGTTCATAACCTCTCCACAGAACTTGCCTTTCCAAACATTTGAACAGCAGCAGCTTCCTGGAGACAAAACCCAGTCAGAAGCACTGAGTAAAAATAATGAGTCATGAGTCTGCGGTCCATTTATTTATGGATGACTGTTATCCAAGTTAAACAAGTCTAGCTAATGTCATAGAGGAAGTATGTTTGAGCCACTAAATTTAAACATTGAGCAATCTGAGTTTCACCAGCTGAAAGAGTTCAGGGTCTCATGATGATTAGAAATCATATTATTATATCTGTGACCCCCCTCAGGCGGCAAGTCTCCGTCAGCTGGAGGAGGAGAACCATGAAGCAGCAGCTCGTCTGGAGGAGGTGGTTTACCGCGGCGATATGCTGCTGGAGAAGATCCAGAACGCGCTGGCCGACATCGCCCAGTCTCAGCTCCGCACACGCAACGGCGCGCCCAGCCAACCRTCACCAGCCGAGTCCTGACCCCCCAAGTACCCCAACAAACCCTAACARCCCTACCGACACCCAACCATCCCCAACAACCTTCAACAACCACCATCAACCCCATTTTCAGTCGTTTTCTATCAAATCTTGAAGTCAAAGCTATTAAAGGAGGAAAATCAAACACTAGAGGCATTAGTTTTTTTTTTTTTTACAGGTTTTACAGTTTTTATTTTACAGGACTAAAGTTTTACTTTAAAAGTCTTTTTGTGTCCTTCAACTGAGTCAGTTAAAAAAAACACAGAAATCCACCCTTTTAAGATTGAAGATGCATTTGTACATTCAAAATATTAAAGATATCATGTTTATAAAATGTCTGTATTGTTTATGTTGTTACATTATTTGCTGTATATTTTGTTTGTTTTCGTATTTGTCTGTTTTGTATTTAAAAACTCCCCTTCAGTTTGACTCCACTCACTGAAAGCCAACTTATTTTTGAATAAACAAAATACTTGGTTCTTGTTGAGTTTTTTATTATGTGGTATTTTTTAAATGGCATAATTAGTATTTTTGAAAGATTTTTTTTAATACAGCCATAAATTTCAAAACGGATGTGTTAAATTTAAATAAGATTTGAGTACATTGATTTGAAAATCTCAAACCTATATTTTATTTACTATAGAACAGTAGATCTATGTTAAAAAAAATACATTTCAAAATGTTGGGATAGGCAGAAAAGGCTTAAAAATTACGTACAAAAAAATGTCCAATAGGAAGAGCTTCTTTAACCTGTGGGGTGCCTCAGGTTGTGGGCCACCTGATACAAACATTTATTTGTGATTTCTCATATTTCACACTTGGATCATGCCAGTCTGTGTGCCTACACTGGCTTCTAATTAAGTTTTTACATTAAAATGGTCTCATTTTTTTATGAAACCATGACAGTCAACTTCAACTTATCTGAATTTYAAATTCTTTCAAGACTTCTGATCAAAGCCTTTTGTTTTATCTCAGGAAAATGCAGTGTTTTCYAAGATAAATGATTTTTTATTGATATTTTAACTGAAAATATGACAGAACATAAATTAGACAAAACAAACATGTAAAGRGACAGGAATGTTTGGAAAATCACACGGAAGCAACACAGCTTCTTTTTACTTAAACACATAGTAACATAAAGTACATATCACATTTTCCAAACATTATGCAAGCATAGCACCTCTTAATTTTGGTATCCACCATGCGCCCAGAGAGGCTACGCAACACCAGATGTGCGATAGTTGGCCTGCATTATGTATTTTATACATCCAACAAAGGCCCTACACAAACAGCTTGCACATACAGCATTGGTGACATATGATCTGAAACATTTAGTTTTGGATCAGAAGTGCTCGRTATCTATCTTCTGTCTCAATACTTAGAACTCCAAATTTGCTTATGTTTGTACATTGGGTCATGTATGGTTTCATCCATACCMAAGATGTTGTAAAATTAATTCTCTTACAAAACAATTTGAATTGCAAACTTTCCAATTTAATGACATGGTCCTTTTGTGCTACAAGAAATGAAAGATGAGCTATTTTATCTTTTTTTTTTAGTTTGAAACTGAGTAGCTCTTTTGCTTAAAAGACAAAAAGTTTCACATCTGGACAACGCCACAACATACGTCAACAATGTCCCCTTTAGCCATTCCAACAAAGCTCTGTGGGTCTATGATCAATTTGTTTGAGTTTGGCTGGAGATACATAGGCACGGTGTAAGATGTAAAGTTGTCATTCTGATACAAATATTTTTGTTGCATTTCTCCATATTTACTTCTAGTCCATAGAATTTTTATATTCTGACATTCCCATTGGATGTCCCAGTGTTGGATTTGTGACCTGTCCAGTGTGAACCCCGCCCCTCGGGATATAGGCACCAGTGACCCTGAAAGGAAGAAGCAGGTAATGGATGGATTTTCCCATTAGGATTGGATTCTGCTGTTTGGATTTTTACCTGTATTAATTAAAATTTTATACAAACCTGAAACTGCTAAAATCCTTTATTTATAATCATAATATTCTTTAGAAAGCTTTGACAATGCTGGGTGTACTGTAAAAAGACATTAGCTCTGAGGTTGTATCAGGACAGTTCCTCAAAGGAAAAGAAAAACACTTTCTCATCAATATTTGATATTTGTAATATATTGTGTTGTTTCCATATATTATTTAAAAGGGGGTTTCCAGCAGCTGTAAAAGCCAAATTATTCCATATTGGACAAGATGCAAAAACTCCATTTACATTACCTGTTTTCTCRTGAAGTTTCTGTATGGATTTACATGTATATTATTATTATCCAGGTTAGCAAGAGGATATGATGCCAGAGTGATGTTAATGCAGTAGATGGATTTATTTCCTTCACATTTTTTTCCTTAGCCAATCCCAACTATCTCTTTCCCACTTTTTTATATTAMCAAAACAAAGCATATCAGACATTAAATGCAACATAATACAGGTAAATGTCAGGAATCACAAGACCTCCTTGATTCTCGCTTAAACTTATTTTCTTAACACTGATGGTGTGCTTTTTGTCCTTCCATTTAAACCCTACTGTAGGTATGTCTGGAGGAGATTAAAGAGATAATTCTTGGGGGAACATTCATCTTGAGCACCTCTGCTCTGCCCCACACGTAAAAATGACCATCTTTTAAGGTCTTCTTTTATCAAATTAATTAATGGTCGTCACACCCCCCCCCCCCCCATTATTTTATTGATAAACATCCTTTTGTTACTCTTAAATATTCCAGATTTTTCTATATAAAGGGAGCAAAGCCCAGTTCTGTTTTGAATGTGTTCAGAGGTATTACAGACCTAACTAAAGTCAATGATTCATGTAGAAGCAATAAGCGTCTCTGAGGCCAAGGAGATCTCCACACAGGTCATAGACAAAGTTGTGGAGAGGTAAACCAGGGTTGGAATATCAAAATGTAGCACAAAACCCTTGGAGCGCCAGTAAATCCATTATTAGGAGGCAGAAAGATTATGCCACCACAGTAAAGCTGCCATAAAAACTCCCAGTCTGGGCAAAGAGAACATTAATCAGAGAAGCAACGAAGAGGCCAAAGATAGYCCTGATGAAGCTGGGCAGCGTTTCTGCAGAGATGGGAGGATCTGGTTCTTTATTGATCCACATCAGAGGAAACGCACTCACAGCAAGACTACTGACAAGATTTWAAAAAATTAAAGTAATAACACAAAACATAAAGAAACACAATAAAACATTGTAAAAATACAACAAACTTACTGTATATGCAGTAAATTAATAACATATCCTGCACAGAGCTGAACTTTATGAAATAAAAGTGGAAAAATTACACTGAAGAAAAAAAATTTGATTGTTTGGAATTTGTCATAAGGCAGGTAGGAAATTCCTCCAATACGTCTATCAGGGGTGTTAAAACCATTTTCACCGAGGGCCACATGAGCATTACGGTGGCCCTCAAAGAGCCAGTTGTAAATAACTTCCATTCTTTGACTAAACAAAAATATTCCTCCTTATTGCTTGTTTAGGATTAACAAACACTAACTGAGCTCTACGTGGCATTTCCTGCATAGAAATAATGTTTTAACATGTCCTCTTATAATCACTCAAAAGKACTACGTGTATGACTGAATTTATTACTTCATTATACCAATTTARAATAAAACCCTCTTATCCCCCACCGTATTTAACTTTATAAACCTGTTGCATCGTGTGTAGGTTTATTAGATTCAATCACGTGTCTTAGTGTGTTTATTGATAAAAGTTCAGTAAATAGAAACCACCTTCCCTTCTTGTTTACTTTGAGTACAATTTTTTTTCCAATTATTTTTGAGCCTCTTGGACTTAATTTCAGACACTGATTATTCTTTGTGCTCAATGATCAATTTAGATATTCRCTGTATTTCTGTTACTGTTACAGCATTTCCTGTCCTGATGTAATTTTTCACAACAGCCTTTAACTCATGTAGCCTTCAGAGAAATGAGGATGTGTCATCACATCTGTGTCCTTTAGGGAACTAAAGAGCTGTTTTTAGCCYGTTTCAGAATGTTTTTAATAGAGAAGCCCAGATGTTTTTATTAGAGTATTTAACATGCTTCTTTTAGTCAGTCAGCCCATGCAGTTCGTTTTCTACCTCTAAGCATTCCTAACCACACCAGGAGGAATAACTTTTGCTCTTTAACCGTCTTTGTGTTTCAGTTTAAATTGAGTCCAAACGTGGATCAGGGGGTTTGAGTCCATTTAAAAACTGATCTTTGAGCGGCGGGCTGCACGCCAGAGAGTTTACGGCCTGAATCTAAATATAGGGGCCGTGTCACRGTTTAGTGAGGGCCCACTGATGTGAGAACCATAAAAACAGCCTTGTTTGATGCTGTGCACCACACCCAGACGTGTTGACATCATGGTTCCAACGRGTAAAAAATAATAATAATAAAATAACACCCGAACCATCTAAATAAGGAGATTTATGACTGTGAAACTTTTACCATTCACTCTGAACTAGTCTGCTGCTTGTGAATCAATACAACTATAAAACAACAGTGTTATTGTCGTTATCTGTGGTTCCCAGAACTAATCAGGTTCATCTTTTTGCTTTATGCACCTGTTCTTTGTCCCTAAGGCTTTTCACATTCATACCTACAAGGAAACAACAGAAATCCAGTCTTCTGAATAGCACAAAAACCTAGTCTCCATTGTCTAACTTAAACAAAACTACTTTATATTCAAATCGGATGCATGATTAAATCAGGCTTTACAAGAAAAAGGCCCAAATTTCCAAGGTCAAATAAGGAAAACTTTCTCAGAAGTCTGTTCTTATCACACTTTATGGTGTTTTATCTGGTTTATTGTCACAGAAGACTCATGAGGTTATAACTGTTGYATGTATATGTAGTTGTGACATTCCAGCATGACTTCTGATTGACTCTTAGTAAACAGTAACAAAACCCTAACAAGAAAGCTAGCCACAAATTTGACCTTTCATAAGCTTGTGCTTCTTAGGGTTTAAAAAAAGCTTCTTTTTTTGTATTTAATCTGCCACGGTAACACCATTTTAAAATGAGTTATTTTTAGTAAAGGTCTGAACAAACTACAACCCCCACAGTGATGTAAAATCTCCCAGTTGCAGGTACAATTTATTCTTTTTAGTCTCCAGTGATCGCTAGCCGACTGAACCTGCGGGCTGGTGAGGCCGGCACGTATCTTCCTATTGGCTGAAGGGCCGGTCACTCTTTCATGTTTCCGTCTGTGATTGGGCAGAGGAAATTGAAGCCCAGCCTAYTTACTTATGATTGGCTGTTGCCAGCGTCACTCAGAGCGGCGATTGCGTAGCCCAGAACGTCTGGTGAGCCTCACAGGAAGCAGAGGGTCTTATATTTCATAATTTGTGAGGATAAAGACGGGGGTCAAACGTGCGGTTTAAGGAAGGGGGTCCCAGATGAAGACAGGTGGATATTTACCTGATTTTTTACGGATACGTTTTTGCTAAGGACGGGGCATTTTTGTTATGATTTGGCGCTGATATTGAGGATGTTTACCGTTCAGCCTCAGCGGTTTCTCTGACGGGCAGTCAGAATTTAAAGTGGAGCTCCTCCAACCTTCAACGTGAAAAAACAAACAAACAAACAAATTTTATTTAATCTTTTTCTACTGGTCTGGGTGCTGGCGGTACGCCAATAATTTACTCTGGAGCAGGACACGGAGGTAGGTGGATACAAATCTGTTATTGTTACCAGAACCTGCCAGACATAAGAGAAGGAGCTAAATGCATATTTATCTATTGTTTAAGTATGAATTTATAGTAAATGCAACAATATGTTTTTAAGCTCTGGATGTTATGCGTCAGCTTTAACAGACAGGGTGAACTCAGGTGAGTTGTTAAACATTAAACAGAAAATACATGTTTTGTTTAGTTTTATTTTATTGTTATAAATTATGAACGTTACAGACAGGTAAACAATATGTCTGCGTTTATTAAATGATTCACGTTAACACAAGAAAACAGGCCAAATAACTGTGTTACAACAGAAAATATAGTCCACATGCTTTTATTCTGAAAGGGTACACCAAGATCAGGAGCTTTACAGTTAATTTTGTGTTGAAACTCCAATGATTGTGTGGAAAAAATAAAATTAAAGGGATCCCCAATTAGTTGTAACATTAGACTTTATATGATAAACATATACTTTAACTGTAAAATAAAGACTGTAAAAATACTGTAGGCTGTTTAGTTTTTATAATTTTTAAACTAAAAATTTAAAAATATATTACACGGACAGGGCCATTTTATTTACACGCAAAGCATTCTGGGTAAATGATGACATCAACTAGGTCATCAGTGCGAGGCAGCTAGCAAGCTATATCCACCCTGAAGGTTAATCTTGGACAATATCTGATGATCGACTCTTTTAAATGAAACCAGAGAGCGTTGACAGAGAGGAGAAGGTAGAAATGACTCAGCCTGGAACTGAAAATATGGATGGAGGACAACAGAGCTGCTTCATGGAAGAAGAACCTCAGCTTAGCCTGTTAGCTTTAGTGTTAGCCCCGATGCTATCACCATGTATACTTTATGTATTAGCTCAGCGCTACACATTCTCCTCTCATCACTGACGTCCTCCATCCACATAACAGAGAGGGGAATACAAAAATGACTCAGCCTGTAACTGAAAATAAGGATGGAGGACCTCAGTTTAGCTTGTTTGTCGCGCTAGCGCCAAGCTAATACATATAGGCTGTGTCCAAAACGGCAGGACGGGTCCTCCGAAGGTCGAATTTGTCGGCCGCATACGTCACAGCGCCGCGACGAAGGACGTCCAAAACGGAAGACTCCTCCGATGCGTCTGACAAATACGTCCTTCTTTTTCCCCGAATCGAAGGACAGGTCTGATGAATCCTTCCCGGCCCAGCATATCCCATAATGCATTGCGGCCCGACCGGAGATTTTTTTAAGCTAGTAATGGCGGACGAAGCGAGAGAAAAGAATACATTTTAAATAAAAGTATGGTGATTTAAAAATTAAAAAAAATTAGCGGTTGTAATTCTAATACTTTTATCATTTGTATGGACATGTTTTTAAATATTATTTTTTCGTCATAAAAAACGCGAAATAAACATGAACCTACAGCGGGTCAATTAGTTCTTCAAATGATACTTTTAAGTTAATTTTATAGTTTTGTGATATTAATAATGCTAATGTATTGATATTTTTCTAGTTTTGATTTAAGTTTGCTTGTTTAGCGTCGTCACAGTTGCTAGGTGACAAGACGTACGCCGGGGTAAGGAGGGGAGGCCAGACCGTCCAAATCCACAGCCTCTTTTTTTCCGGTCTTCCCGGTCTACCAAGGACCCGGCCCTCCGAGACCGGGGAGTCTGGGTCCTCCGGAGGACCCGTCCTGTCGTTTTGGACACACCCATAAGGCAATGTAGCATGAGGGCTAGCGCAAAGGCTAACAGGCTAAGCTGAGGTTCTTCCATGAAGCAGCTCTGTTGTCCTCCATCCATATTTTCAGTTACAGGCTGAGTCATTTCTACCTTCTCCTCTCTGTCAATGCTCTCTGGTTTCATTTAAAAGAGCCAGTTGTCAGATATTGTCCAAGATTAAACTTCAGGGTGGATATAGCTCCCTAGCAGCCTCGCACTGATGACCTAGTTGATGTCATCATTTACCCGAATGCTTTGTGTGTAAATAAAATGGCTCAGTCCGTGTTAAAATATATTTAAAAAATACAAATCTAAATTGCCTACAGTATTTTTACAGTCTTTATTTTACAGTTAAAATAAATGTTTATCAAATAAAGTTTAATGTTACAACTAACCGTGGATCCCTTTAAGGGTGCAATAGGAAAACAGATGAAAATGACATTCTGTCCAATTTAAAGAGTGTGTGGAAAATTATGAATAATAATATTTTACTGCTTACCAGTAGCTTTTTGAGATACTAGAGAAATTAAATTAAAATTTAAAAGTACTTAGTGGTAATGCAATGTCACGAAGAGTGGTTAAACAAGAAAATCCAAAATTAACAATAGACAAGCTAATGGCTAGTCTGAAGCTAAGGTGGTGAGGAACTGATGTATTTTTAAAACAGCTCTCATCTCAGATGTTTTACTTTGACGTCACTCTCACAATTACTAAATCAAAGGTTATTTGAAAGCTAGRTGAAGCACTTAGGGGTGCGGTGGTGTAATGATTAGGACCCCCAGCTTTGTATCTCAATGTCTTCTTACAAAATCCTACCTAAAAGCCTGCTCAGTTCGGCTGTAGTAGCTATTCCAGGCCTGTGTTTGTTTTGCTGCAACACTACTGCATGAATACACCAAAAACAGGAAACAAGGGATGGAGCATGTCCATAAAGTTGAAAAGGTTTAGAGGCTATGACATTGTCATTTTAAAGATTCAAGATTTATTTTCACTTCAGGACCTGTTTTCAAAAAGACTATTTTAGAGCTCCCAAAAATCTGTTCCAAWATAGACGACCCCAGTCAGATTAGTTTATTATGACCGTCTGAGTGGGTGTAATTCCAAATCAGAGTTTGTCATTTTTAGTTTGGGTTTAGTTCAGGTTAAACTAGTTAAACTCAGCCTTATTTGCTGTTTTAGTGTTTAGGCTTTAAATTTTGTGTGTGAGTGTGTGTGTGTGTGTGTGTCCTCATGACTGAGTCCTTTCATTCACAACGGAAAGACTTGTGCTGTCCCGTAAAGGGCGGAGTGCTGTCTGAGAGTGGAACTCCCTAACAGAAGAGTTTTACGCCAAACGCACAGATCTGGCTTTTAGCGAGGGGAAAAGTGACACTGCTGGGTCTCCTGCTTGGAATGTCCTCTCATTTTTGTAACACACACACACACACACACACACACACACACACACACACACACACACACACACACACACA